TAGGTCCATTTGGTCCTGTGTCATTCACAGCCATTGTTCCTTATTGATTTTCTGATTAGATGATCTTTATATTGCTGAAAGTGGTGTTGAAGTCCCCTACTATTATGGTGTTATCATCAGTGAGTTTCTTTATGGTTGTGATTAATTGATTTACAAATTTGGGTGATCCACATTTGGAACATAAATGTTTATCATTGTTAGGTCTTCTTGGTGGATAGACCACTTAATTATGATATAATGCCCTTCTTCATCTCTTGTTCCAGTCTTTATTTGAAAGTCTAGATTGTCTCACATAAGTATGGCTACTCCAGCTTTCTTTTGTCGACAATTAGCATGATAGATGGTTTCCATCCCCTTACTTACAATCTGAAGGTGTCTTTAGGTCTAAAGTTGGTCTCTTGTAAACAGCATAAAGATGGATCTTTTTTTCTCATCCATTCTGTTACCCTATATCTTTTGATTGGAGCATAGAGTCCATTGACATTTAGAGTATGTACTCAAAGGTATGAATTTATTGCCATTATGTTGCTTGTAGAGTTGGAGTTTCTGGTGGTGTCTCTGGTCCTTTTTAGTCTTTGTTGCTTTTGGTATGTATGTAGGTATGTATGTATGCATGCATTTTCATCTTTTCTCCCCTCAGAGAGTCCTCCTTAAAATTTCTTGCAGGACTGGTTTAGTGGTCACAAACTCCTTTAATTTGAATGACATCCTTGCTGGATAAAAAAAATTCTACTTTGAATGACGTCCTTGCTGGATAAAAAATTCTTGGCTGCATATTTTTCTCATTCAGCACATTGAATATATCCTGCCACTCCTTTCTGGACTGCTGAGTTTCTCTGGATAACTCTGCTGCTAACCTGATCTGTCTTCCCTTGTAGGTGAAAGACATTTTCCCCTGCTGCTTTCATGATTCTTTCCTTGCCTGAGTATTTTGTGAATTTGACTATGATATGCCTTGTTGATGGTCGGTTTTGGTTGAATCTAACAGGAGTTCTCTGTGCTTCCTGGATTTTGATGTCTGTGTCTTTCCCCAGGTTAGGAAGTTTTCCACTATGATTTGCTCACATAACCCTTCTACCCCTATTTCTCTCTCTCCATCTTCTGGGACTCCTGGACTTCTGGGATTTCTGGAATTCTGATGTTGTTCCTTTTTAATGGGTCACTGATTTCTCTAATTGTTATATCATGCTCTTTTGCCTTAGTCTCCCTCTTTTTCTGCTTCATTATCCTTCATAAGTTTGTCCTCTATATTGCTGATTCTCTGCTCTGCCACATCCCTTCTTGCTGCTGTGGCATCCATTTGATTTGCATCTCAGTTATAGCATTTTTTATTTTATCCTGACTAGTTTTTACTTCTTTTATCTCCACAGAAAGGGATTCAAATCTATTTTCGGCTCCAGCTAGTATTCCTATTATCGTGAGTCTAAATTCTGGTTCAGACATCTTGCTTATATCTGTGTTGGTTAAGTCCCTGGCTGTCGTTCTTCCTGCTCTTTCTTTTGGGGTGAATTGCTTTGTTTCATCATTTTGAAGGAAGAAAAGGAATTAATGAGGTAAAAAAAATTTACAATTAAAAAAATTACAGTTAAAAAATTAAAATTAAAAAATTAAAGACAACACAAACACACACAAAAAATGAAATAAATGATGCTAGGTCCTAGATGTGCTTTGGTCTGGGTGCTGAAAGGGGCTTGTGGATTAGAGAAAAAAGGGGAAAGTAAAAAAAAAAGCAATCACTTGAAAATTTGAAAAAATGAATACACTGAAATAGAATAAAATGAAATGTTGGAAGTAAAACAGAGTTTGAAAAAATTTACAGAAATGTAAAAAATACAGCAGAAAAAAATCAAAGAACATTTTTTAATAAAGATTGAGAATAAAAATAATTTTTCTCCTTCCGTATTCAAGAAAAAGAAATGAAAAAGAAAAAAGAAAGAAAATTGAGTAGATGGACCAGTGAAGAGACTGAAACACGTTTGAAATTAGGTTTCCCCTACAAGTCAAATTATGAAGCGCTTTATAGTCTGTAAACTAAGCAGAATGAGAGATTTTTGTTCCCAAAGAGGGAGGTTGGCCCAGTTGGGTGGGGCTTAGTGTAATGGCTCTGTTTCTCACTAGATGGTGCTGCTTAGCTTACTGGGGTGGATTGTTGTGGTGTTTGTAGGTGCGTATGTTGCATACGCGGGAGTGGTGAAAATAGCGTCATCCAGCTACCCAGTCTCTAGTATCGTTCTCCCTGACCAGCAATCGTGGACCCGTCCTTTGTCTTTGGCTTCCGTCCACTCCCCGCTTTTACACTGTCTGTGACCAAGCCCCAGGCAGCACCTCCCTCCTGAGTTTTATTTTGGATGCGACTATTTTTCCTGACCCCTTATTTCTGAGGGACTGCAGTTTTGACCAGTCTGCCCCTCTATGGGAGGGTTTCACCAAGCAATGGCTGGGTGCTGGCAGCACCCAGGAAGGTTGGTGGGACCGTGCTGTTTGCTGACACCCAGAGACTGTGGCTGTGTGACATCCTACCCCAGAAAAAGTTCACATGATCGTTTAGCAGCAGTATTTCAGGGATTATGGCAAATCACAACTGATATCTGGCTCTAGGCTTCACCCCTAATGACCTTGTTCCAGCACCAGCGAATGTGACCATTATCCCGGGTCCACTGTGGCCTTTGCCTGTAGGGAGTCCTCCCAGCAGGGGAACCGCCTCTCCCTGTGGCCTGAAGACCCCAGTCTTGACACTGCTCCTGGGAATTCACCTTTCTCACCAGAACTCCACCAGATAATGAGCTGTAGAATTTCAGTCTCTGTGCTCCCTCTGTTTATAGTGTCTTATGGAATTTAAATCCTCTCCTTTCCCCTTTCTCATTTTTAGTTCAGTCCCTGAAGCTGTTTCCAGCTTTCCACTTTCTCTCCAGATGCTTTGGGGGTGTGGGGTGCTTTCCCCATACTCCCCCCCCCACCCCACCCCCATCTCGGTCTGCTCTCCGAAGGCAAAAACAGATCCCTGCCCTCCATGGCTTCTTTCTCCCCCATTTTACCTCTCTGCACCATGCCCCTGCTGAATTCTGTGGTTCTGCTCGTGCAGATGGTTGTGTTAATCCTCAAATCAGTTTTCTAGGTGTGCAGGATGGTTGATCCAGGATAGTGCAGGATAGTGTTGATCTGGCTGTATTTCATGGATGCGAGACACACAAAAAAACTTCCATGCTCCTCCAGCATCTTGGCTCCTCACAAGAATCTTTTTTAAATATTTGCTTTGCAATTCTGATTGTTTGATGACTGGTCTACTGTGAGTCTACTTCTAGCAGGAAGGAAACTCCAAGCCAGTAGGGAAGGCACCTGCCTCTTTTAGTCCCTGGTGTCTGGAATTCTGTCTGTCACATAGGAGGTACTATTTCAATAGTTGTTGACTTGGCAAATGAAAGAATCTTTTTATTTATTTATTTAAATTTATGTATTTTTGAGAGAGAGAGAGGGAGTAACAGTAGAGCTGTCAGCACAGAGCTAGATGGGGGCTCGACCTCACAAACCATGAGGTCATGATCTGAGCTGAAGTTGGACACTTAACTGACTGAGCCACCCAGGCACCCCAAGAATCTCTTTTATGTATGCAAAGAGCACTAAACTGTTAGGAAGAAGGGTGTAGGATCACTAGTTTCCTCAGTATGCTCTGAAACAGCAAAAGCAAGCTTCACCTACTCTCCAAGTGTTTCTGGCAAATACATTAGCTCTCATTCCCACCAGTGTCTCTCAATGTGCTTCCACACATTCTCCACTCCTTTCTCACATATTATTACCCTCTGAACAGAATGAAAATATTTCAGTATGCTTGGAACAGACTGCCAGAGACCAGCATGTTGTTCAGTGTGTGTTAAAGTGATTCATGTAGGCTATAGGTGAATTAAAAATAAAAACAAAAAACAAAACACAAACTGCTTTATTCTTATGAATCTTTCCTGAAAGTTGTTATGTGATAGTAATAACAATAATAATAATAGTAAAAGTTAAGTCCCATTATGAGCACATTTAATTTGGAGGACTGCCTTTAGAAGCGAAACTAGGTGTGGAAGACTCCATTACCATGATTAATCTTTCAACAACAAACAAATATATGCATATTGAGATCAAAGAGGAATGATCAAGAGATGGGAGCAACACTCTGCAGACAGGAAGGAGCTCTTAGGAATTCTCTATCCACCAGGGCTTTGACTGTTACCTACCAATTAGAATAGTTTGCATAGCAAGACATCTGTATATAGACTGAATTGTTGTTAATTCCTTTGGTTTCAAACCTCTCAAGTTTTAGTCTACATAATTAGTCAACACAAAGCCAACTGTACTTTACAAGTGATTTAAAGATTTGCAAGAGTAATTCTGATACATGATTTTTGTTTTGTCATTTAATTACTGAATAGGTCTCTACATTGTTTTATATTTTACAGTACCCCTTTTCATGAAGTGCTTTGCTGGGTATTCAAGGCAACTCCGCAAAGGGAGTGTTATTGTCTTCATTTAAGAATACAGGCTCACTATCTAGTTTCAGGGGGGAATATTGGAGTTTTTCCAAAATATGTACAGTAGATTTTTCTTTTAATGCCCCTTTCTGTATTTAAGGCTTGGAGGTGAACTCTTACATTAACTGTGGGCTTGGCCATGTGACTTGATTTGGGCTATGGGGCAGTAGTAAATACATCACAAACAGATTGAAAAGTGCTGGTCATGATGCAGTTGCTTCCATTATTCAACCAACAGACAACACCCAGAGGCAGAGCTGTGAAAATGACCATCAGCTGTCCCCAGGTACTTGAGCAATTCTAGTCAAGACCAGAAGAATCACCCACCTGAGACCAGCTCAGATTGCCAACTCACAATCATGAACTAAATCCATGCTTGTCACTAAGTTTGGGATGGTCTGTATTGCCACAAAAGCTAACAGATACAACACGAGAGAATGGTTGTCAAGATGCTTGATCTTGAGGGAAAGAGTTTAGTGTAGCCCGAACTTACTTAGACTGTTGGTAAGAATATGCAGGTGCATGTTCGTTGGATGTGTCCACTGCTATCTGTTGCTGCTGACCACTGGTGTCCTGGGATGAAGGTGCCACTGTCTGGGGAGAGGTATCAGCAACAACACCCTAAGGAGGCAAATAAGAACACAAAAGCCTTACTGGCTTTAGCAAAGGGCCTTTTTCCAGATGGACAATAGGGAATATCCTTCTTCTATTTGGCTTGAACGGAATTGCACTCAGCCAAATGAAGCCACAAGAAGTACTCAAAGGAAAACCACAGCACATTTTGATAAGAGCTGAGAAATTCATTCCAATCTGTCATCAAGAAGTTTTGCTTTCAGAAGTCCCTAGAGCAGTTGAATCGTCAGAAAATCACCTTCACCATACTTAACTGTTTTTTTTTTAAAGTTTTTATTTATTTATTATGAGGGAGAGAGAGAGAGAGTGTGTGTGAGGGGGAAGCGGCAGAGAAAAAGGGAGAGAGAGAGAGAATCCTAAGCAGGCTTTCTGTTGCCAGCATGGAACCCAACGCCGGGCTCTAGCTCACTAAACTAAGATTATGACCTGAAGAAATCAAGAGTCAGACGCTTAACAGACCAAGCCACCCAGGCTCCCTCATACTTAGAACTTTTAAACCTGGTTGCAGATAGCTGCACTAAATAATAATTTATTCATCAAAAAATCATGCAGGATTCCTATAAAAACTTATATATTCAAACATTTCCCTGGAGTAGTGCAGTGTGTCAGGTTTCTATGATCTGGCAAAACAGTGGACTGTGACCTAAACAGACCACCCAACAACAACAACAAAAAAACCTGCAAAAAAGCTTGGAATTCTTTCAAAGCAATACTGTTAAGTAGGCTTTCCTTTCAGCAATTTGATTTATTTTGTTTTGTTTTCGACAACATGAACTAGAATTCATTTTGAGGTTTCAGAAAACAAACACAAAAATATCCTTAATTTTGATTTGCTACTTCCCTCACCCTCTCATTTGTCACAGATGCCAAGAAGAAGTTGATCAGATGTCTGATTCTGAGAGAGGCACAGGTGGTTTTATTTGATACATGGTAGGAAGGGCATCTCTCTGAAAACATTCTCTTGGTTTTACTTATAGCCCTGGACACCTGCAGGGATGTCAGCTTTCAAACATTCTTGACCAACTCTCTGTCCCTCACTAAACATCCCTAAAATTGTTCCTTAGAATCTAAAAATTCTCCCTATATTACCTCAATCTCTTTTTCCCTAATATACTATTTGGTATTATACATTTTTCTGAACCTCCCATAAGTATTTGTGTGGATGTTGGTGAATTTTCAGTGTTTTACATAGAGAATAAATAGTTGCTTTAACTTATAAGCACAAATTCAAAGCAATGTACCTGCATTTTTCTTTCAAATTTTTTTTTTTTTTCAACGTTTATTTATTTTTGGGACAGAGAGAGACAGAGCATGAACGGGGGAGGGGCAGAGAGAGAGGGAGACACAGAATCGGAAACAGGCTCCAGGCTCTGAGCCATCAGCCCAGAGCCTGATGCGGGGCTCGAACTCACGGACCGCGAGATCGTGACCTGGCTGAAGTCGGACGCTTAACCGACTGCGCCACCCAGGCGCCCCTCTACATTTTTCTTAATGAAAGGTTGTTTTTTTGTTTTTGTTTTGTTTTGTTTTGTTTTGTTTGGTAATCTCTATGCCCGGTGTGGGGCTTGAACTCATGACCCTGAGATTGAGTTGCATGCTGCATCTACTGAGCCAGCCAGGTGCCCTGAAAGACTTTTTGTAATGATAAACTTCTTCTTGAACTATAATTAGACTGTTTCCAATAAGTCACACTGTCAGATGTGTCCCATTATTTTATAGTCATCAAAGTGCTCAAATTCTGTAGATAAATATATCCATATGTCAATGTAGACAAAGAGAAATGCAAACATGCTCAAAGTGCCTAAAGTATCTAGATTCATTAATTGATGACCTAGATGCTTTTTGATGGCCAAATATAGCAAAAAAAAAACCCTAAAACCCAAACAAACAAACAAACAAAAACCCACACGTATTTTAATCACAGTCTTTTGAAATTATGAAAAGCCAGTTAAAACCTGTTTAATACTGACACATTCTTTGGGGCCCACAGGTCTAGAGCACATAAAAGATTTAAAATTGGACCTCCCTGGTTTCCTAAATTACACGATGGTGTCCTCTTAAACTTCTGTATTTCCCAAACTTTGGTACTAGTAAACATCTGTCACACCCCCAAAACAAATATGTCAAATGTTTTGTAAAATCCAATTCTGTAAAGATTTTCCCAAACTCTGTCGCTCCAGAGGTTGAAAATGTCATGGTAGACTTCCATGTGGAGGGGTGCTGACACCCTAGTTTCTGGCCAACTCATGAAGTAGCAATAGCATGGACTGCAGAGAAGTCCCAGCTGATGGGAAGCAATGCACTGTGACCATAATGGCAAATGTCATCAGGAGATGGGGATGAGGGGCAAGAGATAATAATGGCTAGAACTAGAGAGAAATATACATGTCTAAGTGTTTTACCACTAGCTCATAGCTGTATGCTCCCTCCCTTTCTATGTAGCTTGCTGGCTCTGTTGAGTAAAATAACATGTACTCAACATGTTATTGGATTCAACCCAGTGGAAAGAGAGAAGAAAAGGGACAAAGCTTCCCTTTGAGTCCAAAGTCCCAAAGACAAGATGACTTCATCATTTGAGGTATTCAGAACAGTAAGAATGGTGCAACTTTTTTATTTTTATTTTTTGATCTATAGGAAGTTACAAGGCTGCCAAGGTTCATTCACTAAAGCAGTGGTTGTTAATCCTTGATACATATTAGAATCACCTGATATTTAAAGAAAAATCCTGACATCCAGTCAATACCGCAGACAAATAAATCAGAATCTGGGGATAGGACCCAGGCGTAAATATTTTTTAAAGCTCTCTAAACAATTGCAGAAAATAATAAGCAGGAAAGTTTGAGAACCAGTGCACTAATGTGAACGTAGATTCCCAAGGGATCTTGTTAAAATGCAAATTCTGATTCAGTAAGTCTTGGTGGTGTCTTCAGACTTTGCATTTCTAACAAGCTCCCTGGTGATGTCAATGATGATGTTGGTCCAGGGACCACTCTTTGAGTAACAAGGCACTAGCAAACTCATTGAAATAGTTGTCAACTTTTTTTTCTCTTCCCTATTTATGAGTATTTGTGGTTAACATCTGAGGGGGTAGTGATTTGGTCTCTGAACTTCAAATATACAAATGATACTCCCTTCTGAACTCTCTATAGCAAATCAGATAATTTAGTGTGCGAAGCAAAACATAAGCATGTTCGAGTACTTCATATAGTGAGCTTGCAATTTCAAATTTTAGAGCAGCACAAAACCACATGTCAGGATTGCTTGGGTCATAGGGGACCACAGTATACGTGGCTAAGATTTATCATCCCTATGTCTTTCTAGAAGACAGAGACAGACTTACTTCAATAGAAACAGCTGTCGGAGGCACAGGCGTGTACTGGGGAATGTAGGTCCCTTGCATAGGAGCCGCAGCAGTCATATACTAGAGGGAATCAAAGAAAAATGCAGGTGAACTTGAGATTGCAACTGGCAAGAAAAGTAGATTATCACATGAAACTGTTTTACATGTGTGGCCCACAGGCAGTGCACCATTAAACTCTATTTCGATAAAAAATGAGGCAGTTCCTATCAGCATAGAATGGCCTTTGCTTACTGAATCAGTGCCAACAGCAGCCCACAGTATCATCCCCCTTCCCTCATTTTATGTTCTAAAACATTCTACATTAGATCCCAACATTTCATTATCACATCTCAAACATACATTCCATAAGGGCAGGGATGATGTCTGTTTTTGTCTTCTTCTCATTTTATTGCTAGCACCTATCACATAGTAGGCTCTCAACAAATCATTTGTTGAATGAATGAATCATCATATTGTTAGCAAACATTTCTTTTCTAACTAAAAGAAAAATAAAAATAGAGGAATAATGCAAGAACTATGTGTGCAGCAATATTTAGATTTGGCGCATGTTTTCACTTTGTCATTTTCATATCACCTTTTTTAGGTACAAATGACATAGTATTACAGATTCTGACAAAGTCTACTTGATGTCCTTCCCCCATTCCATTATTGTGTCACTGTCAGTATTTCCTTTTCAACTCCTTGAATTAGCCAAATGTTCCTCACTTGGATGGACAATGAAACAGTCAAACCAATTCTCACTAAGTTGTAGTATCGGTAAAACATGCATTGGGAATAACCTGCATTTTTGCATTTCAGAAAAGGAGCCCCAAGAAGATAACTTGCTCACCTACATGAGCAAAAATTCCATATTTGCATTTCTAATACACATATCCTTTGCAAATTCAACATTCTACTCTCTGAAAATAGAATTTTCTATGGAATCAATTGTATTATGGAGCTTCTAAACTTGACCAACATCACAAAACATCAGAACCAGAATCATCTACTGAAGACAAGTTTTCTCCATTCATGAAGGTTACAGAAATGATTTTTATGGAAAATTGCAAGCCTCCAACCCTTTATTCTTCTAAATCTGCTGAGTTCAAAGATGAATGCTATGCATAAATATGTAAAACCTAAATTACTATATTTTGTGTGTATCTTGGTACTTTCGTATCTAAGCGACATGATGCTTCTGAATCAAGGGAAATATCTGAATGGAGATGAGCTCATCAGTTGTTGTTGTTTAATATTCATGGAGAATGATAGCAATTAAGCAACTTTGGAATAAATGTATCTCCATCTTAAACTCAAAACCATCCTACTGTGTCTATTTGCTAAAAATAAAAATAGAGACAGCCTTAATGAAACAACCCTAGATCAAACAAACCAACTGTTCTCTGTAATCCATATGTAGCAGCTGATAACTGTGTAACACTAATAACAACTAAGTTCAATTCGTATCTATGCAAAACAACCTTGTAACTTAGACCAAGAGCAACTATTTGAAAGGCCTAGAGATATTACTAATTTAGCTTTATACTTGAAAATCACCAGAGATTCCTATACCCTATCCTCTGTGTTCTCACAGCTTCCATTACTTTTCTACTGAAATTGTCCAGACTGTCATCTCCTTAAAGGGATGGGCCAAACTTCACATCTCTGTATCTTCCAACAAACCACACCATGCCTGATGTTGAATAAATAATTGTTCAATGGCTGAAGAAAAAGATACAAGAAGAAAGCCTTCTGTTTCCAGTTATGAATCTTGCATGCCCTTCCCTTAGCTGTTAATAGTTCTGAGCTCATTGTAGATATTAATTTCACCATCCCCATAATACATTTATATAACCTTTAAACACACACTTGAGCCAACTCTGCTCATCATTGTCCTTGTGTCTTTAAGTAGACATAAGCATCCAGGTATCCAATGGTTATCAATTTTTCAAATAAGCATAGAACTCTGGAGTTACATTTCAGCAAACATTATTCCACATCTAGAGCCCTATGGCAGGTATCTGCCTTGCCAACAAAACTGCTCTAGGATGTATTTTGGGAATAACAGTTCATTGGCCATTTCAGATAGATGGTTTGCTTATATAGGTTAATAAAGTCTTTTAACTGAGCATTCTCTTTATTATTTTTGAATGCTAGCTCAACTGGGAAAACAGCTTTCTGTTTTCCAGTGCATTTTGGCAATGCTGGAGAATGTGTCTTCTTTTGTGATATTGATGTAGAATAAAAACTTCGAGAAATCAAGTTTTAGAGCAGCCTATTTAAAGCTGATTAAACCAACCTTCCTTCCTCCCTCCCTCCCCCTCCCTCCCTCCCTCCTGGTAGCCACCTGTTAATTTTGCTTAGAACTAGTGCTCTAAGGGGCGCCTGGGTGGCTCAGTCAGTTAAGTGTCCAACTTCAGCTCAGCTCGTGATCTCATGGTTCGTGGGTTTGAGCCCCATGCAGGTTCGAGCCCCATGTCCAGCTCTGTGCTGCCAGCTCAGAGCCCGGATCCTGCTTCGGATTCTGTGACTCCCTCTCTCTTTGCCCCTCACCCGCTCGCTCATTCATTCATTCATTCATTCTCTCTCTCTCTCTCTGTCTCCCTCTGTCTCCCTCTCAAAAATAAGTAAACATAAAAAAAAAAGGACTAGTGCTCTAAGGCACATACTTTGAAAAGATCCTTCTTTAATTGAATCTCAGAAGTCTTAGATTTGTAGCAAGGGAGAATATATTTTTGCCAACTATGAATTTTTGTAAGACCAGAGCTGATCCTATGGAGGCTCATGTTCTGCCTTCTGGTGATGGTTTTCCAAGATTTATAATACACTAGTAAAAGAATACCTCACTGACTAGGTATTTGCTATTGCAAAGTTAGTGGTTCTAAACTTTGCAAATGGGCCTAATACATGAAGAGTGTATCCTTTCCATGAAAATAGGACATCACTAGCACTTACCTATAGGATTACTTTGATCTGTCCCTGCTCCACTGTCTGTAGCCCTCAGGAGCCATTTCTGTGAGCTAGAAATAGGGGCATGGCCTGGGTCATTTGGAGCAATGCTTACTAGTTTTCTAGCTCATGGGTTCACTCTTGTCAAACCAGAATTTTCAGGCAGCATAGTTAATGAAAAGCATTTTATGTGATTCTTAGCTAAGCTTCTTCAAATAACTCAGTAATTCAAAACCTAATCTGTGTTTTGTCCAGTAGAACTGAATTAGTATATTTTCACAACTCCCATTTTATTCAGTGAAGTTGTTAACATGGCCCAAACTGAACTGCTGAGGACACAAATTCATACTCCTCTTGTCTTTAGAACACTGCTGTGAGCTAGGCAGCATGGTTCACCCATGATCTTAGCTTAGACTGAGAAGCGAAGACCCCACGTAATGGGAATAAAGCTCAGGCTTCTGACCCATGATTGAGATACTTGTCTACTTCTTTACTTTTGAAATTAAGTAAATAATGTCCTAAGAGTCTCCTTTTGATTGTTCCCATATTCAAGTTGGTTTTGTTGTTGTTGTTAATGGCATATAGAAACTGGAGATCCAATTAAGAAACATGGAATAATATGCCTTTGGTTAATATTTTTATTGCCATTTAATTTATTTTACTTTATACTCAGAATACCTAGTTTCCTTCCAGGAGGGCTACTCTGTATGTTTAACTTATTTCATAATTTAACTTACATTTATGCTGCTTCTCTGAACAGAACCAAGAGAGATTTTGTAGTATAAATGACATCACCTTGGTTCAGTGTGTTTTGTACCTTTTAAAGAAAAAAAAAATCTTTCTGGTTGCCTTGTTTTTTTTTTTTTTTTTTTTTTTTTTTTTTTTTTTTGATCACATAAAAGATAATAGAGCTTGAGAACATTGTTTGGAAATTAGGGATAGGCTTACTCTAAACAAGTCAATACTGTGGAGTTTTATGCCCCATAAGACTATTGTTTCTGGATAAACTTTTGCAATAAAACTCTTCAGTAGTAGACATGTATTTCTAGGGTGAAACCTCAAGAAGTGACAGCTTTGTAAAATTAGGAGCAAATTCTTACAGGAAACGGCTACAGCTGTGTGTAAGATCAACTCTCAGCTTTAGGTAATTGGTGACAAATAACTCTGAACTTTCTCGGCAAGCACAGTTTGATTTCCTTAAGAGCATAGATCAACTACAGTCAGACTTAATAATCTAGGCTGCACAAACACTGTTTAGATCTGGATGCCTCAGCGACTTCCTTTATTTTATCCAGCTAACAAATGACAAAAAACTAAGAGAATGCCCTGTGATATAAAAAAAATCTGCCCTTTTGACTTGATAAATTCCCATGGATTACTTATTAAAACTATAACAAGAATGGATGCATATCCTTCAGGCTAATGTCTTTTATTGGTATGTCTCAAAAGCTAGAAAATATCTGCAACCATTCTTTCACGACTACAAATTATTTTGCATTTTTTTATACAATGGGGGATGGGAACCACATTCCAATGAGATGATATGGGTAAAATGGATAAGTCCATACAATATTTCCTTGTTGGTAGCAACTCAAAGTTTAGAAATTGATGGAGAAATTTTATTTTCTTGGTAAACAGCTTGATTATTTTTATATATTCTAAATCTAAAAGCACTGGATTTTCACACGTAAGCTTGAAGGAGACCTGAATAGCCATTTTCAAACCCACAGAATAAATTCCAGACTCCACTACTTGTTCCAAGAAGTCTAGACACTGCATCACCAAGATAGTTATACAAAGAGAGGAAAAAAAATGGTGAAATTGGAGAGGAATTGTGTTTTTGCCTATTTAAGTTAGAACAAACTGTTTCTGTTACTGTAGAATCATTGATTATTTCCGAGGAAACAAAACTCCAAATTTTCAGTTCTGGATCTACTTTCTTTTCCCCCACAAAGCAAAACAAATATGTTTATGTATTTCCCGTGAGGAAATTTTCATTTGATAATTTGTAGAGCAAGGAATTTCCTACATTTGAATTTTTGAAATTTCCTAAAATAATTTATCACACTTGTTCATTTGGAGTCGTCTTTACACTGCTTAGATTTTAAATTGGTGCTTCTATTCCTTGCTAT